CAGCAGCAGCAGCAGCAGCAGCAGCAGCAGCAGCAGCAGCAGCAGAAGCAGCAGCAGCAGCAGCAGCAGACAAGCAGCAGCAGCAGCAGCAGCAGCAGCAGCGGAAGCAGATAAATAAAATATATACTGATAGAAAATAAAATAAAATAAACTAGAACAAAATAAAATAAAGTAAAATAAAATAAAAAACAATAAAATAAAATAAAAACAAAAATGAAATAAGATAAAAATAAAACAAAATAAAACAAAATAAAACAAAATAAAATAAAAATAAAGAAAATAAAATAGAACAAAACAAAATAAAATAAAATAAAAAATAAAACAAAACAAAATATGATACAATAAAAAATAAAACAAGATACAATAAAATAAAAAGTAAAGAAAATAAAATAAAATAAAATAAAATAAAACAAAATAAAATAAAATAAAATAAAACAAAACAAAATAAAATAAAATAAAAAAAATAAAAAAAATAAAAAAATAAAAAAGAGAAAGAACCTACAAGCCTAGACGAATGCCGCCCGCTTTCTCCGCCTCAGGCAACAAATTCCTAAATAAAATAAAAAAATAAAATAAATAAAATAAATAAAATAAATAAAATAAATAAATAAAATAAATAAAATAAAATAAATATAACACATAAAATGAAATAAATAAAATAAATAAAATAAATATAAAACAAAATGGATAAAACAACATAAATCAAAAAAAAGAAAAAATAAATAAAATAAATAAAACAAAACAAAAACAACAACATAAGAACAACAAAATAAATAAAAATAAATAAAACAAAACAAACAAACAACAAAACAAAATAAATAAAACGAAATAAATGAAACAAAATAAAAGATAATACATCAGCAGCTTGGCTGCAGCAGCAGGCCAACGTCAACCGCCTTGCTGCTGCTGCTGCTACTCCTCGTACTGCAGCAGCAGCAGCAGCAGCAGCAACAACAACAACAGCAGCACCAGCACCAGCAGCACCAGAAGCAGCAACAGCAGCAGCAGCAGCAGCGGAAACAGCAGCAGCAGCAACACCAGCGCCACCACCACCACCACCAACAGCAGCAGCAGCAGCAGCAG